GCCAATATCCAATAATTGAGGAATCTTTGGCATCTTCAAGATCGTTTACATAAATTTGCGCTTTTTTTTTTTTAGGTGAACATGAGGAAGATCAGATGGAAGAACAATGATTATGTCAACTAATGAGCTGAATCTGGATTTAATACTGGTGTCAAGGGTTATTACTCTCGGTTCTCTATGATCTTCACATGCATTATTTTTGTCTTCAAGCGATTGCTTGTTGATGATCTACCTTTTCACTTTTAGATTTGTTTTTTTTTTTTTACTTTGGCTTTGATGCACGTCATTCAGTTTTCGTTACCAGAAATTTAATGTTTTATGAAGATTAATGACACTCTACAGCTGGATCTTAGGGGCTCGAAGTTCAAATTTTTGGAGAGAAAAATCAATCAAGAACATTTACAGATCGATTATGAGGCCCTTGTGCTATGAGACAAAATGTGCACATATCTTAAACAGGTTGTATGTAATTCAAGTCAAGTGGAGCAAAAAGGGTGGCTTGAAGTGAAGATTTGCTCATGTTGCAAGAACGGAGTGTTAACATCTAAAGTTCACAATAACTTTAAAGAGAGTTTGTATTTGTTTCAAGACGAAATTCTCAAATGCAAATGGGATTCGATCAAGTGGCTCTTTGCATATCCCTTAATTGATTAAGGCAGTACTTTGGATAGAGAATTTTCAGAAGCAGTAACTCCAAGCTTTTAGTTGGCTTGGATCTACATTTTCTAAAATTTGTTTTGACTGGAATATCATGCTTCTTTATCTCATTGAAATTCAAACCAGTTATGGAGATAAGCTTGTTCTTGATTGTCTAAACATCTGGCTTTGAAGGCGTCCAAGAATACTGCTCTAAACTATCGCTTCCTTGTTAGACGATGGCCAAAAATTGCGCGATACTATAGCGTCCCTTGTTGGATTCCTTTCTTTCCCATTCTGTCACAGCTCTTTCTCCCGACGAAATGAGCAGTTACTGAATTTGATGGGCAGAAATTGGAGCGTGAATGATCATAAACAAGGAAGGTCTCGCAACCATCAGGTGATGT